TTTTCTTGTGTTATTCATTTTAGCCATTCTGACAGGTTTGAGGTTGTATCTCATAGTTTTGATTTTCATTCCCTGATGATGAGTGATGTTGAGCATCTTTTTGTGTGTCTGTTGGCCCTCTGTAGGTCTTTCTTTGGAGAAATGTCTGTTCATGTCTTCTGACACTTTTTAATTGGATTGTTTGTTTTTTGGTGTTGACTGGTATAAGTTCTTTATATATTTTATATACTAACCCTTTATCAAATATGTCATTTATAAACATCTTCTCCCATTCAGGAGGTTGCCTTTTAATTTTGCTGACTGTTTCCTTCACTATGTGGAAGCTTTTTATTTTGATGTACTCCCAATAGTTTATTTTTGCTTCAGTTCCCCTTGCCTCAGGAGATATATCTAGGAAATATTACTAGAGCCAATATCAGAGACATTACTGCCTGTGCTCTCCTCTAGGATTTTTATGGCTTCAGGTCTCACATTAGGTTTTCAATCCATTTGGAGTTTATTTTTGTGTATGGTGTAAGAAAGTGGTCCGTTGTAATTTTTTTTTGGTATGTAGCTGACCAGTTTTCCCAACACCATTTATTGAAGAGACTATCTTTTTCCCATTGGATATTCTTGCCTACTTTAAGATTAATTGACCATATAATCATGTGTTTATTTCTGGGTTTTCTAAATCTGTTCTATTGATCTATGTGTCTATTTTTGTGTCAGTACCATAATGTTTTGATTACTATAGTTTTGTAATATAACTTGGAAGTCTGGAATTGTGATGCCTCTAGCTCTGCTTTTTTTTTTTTTTTCCAAGGTTGCTTTGGCTATTTGGGGTGTTTTGTGGTTCCGTACAAATTTTAGGATTGCTTGTTCTAGTTCTGTGAAAAATTCTGGTGATATTTTGACAGGGATTGCTTTAAATGTGTAAATTGCTTTGGGTAGTACAGACGTTTTAACAGTATTTTTTCTTCTAATCCATGAGCTTTTGGAAAGTCCATGTCTTTGTGTCATCTTCAATTTCTTTCATCAGTGTTTTAATGTTTTCACAGTACAGGCCTTTCACCTCTTTGGTTAAGTGTACTCCTAGGTACTTTATTATTTTGGTGCAATTATAAATAGAATTGTTTTCTTAGTTTCTCTTCCTGCTGCTTCATTATTAGTATATAGAAATGCAACAGATTTCTGGACATTGATTTTGTATCTTGAGACTTTACTGAATTCATTTATCAGTTCTAGCAGATTTTGGTGGAGTCTTAGAGGTTTTCTATATATATATATATATATATATATATATATATATATATATATATATATATAGTATTGTCTTCGTTTTGTTGTCTGACTGCTGGGCTAGGACCTCTGGTGCTATGTTGAATAAAAGTGATGAGAGTGGACCTCTTTGTCTCTTTTTTGATCTTAGGGGGAAAGCTCTCAGTTTTTCCCCATTGAGTATAATGTTTGCTGTGGATTTTTCACATATGGCCTTTATTTTATTGAGATATGTTCCCTCTAAACCTACTTGTTGAGGGATTTTATCATGAATGGAAGTTGTACTAGGCCAAATGGTTTTTCTGTGTCTACTGAAATGATCATTTTTTTTAATCCTATCTCTTTTTGATGTGATGTATCACGTTGACTGATTTGCAAATGTTGAACCACCCTTGCAACCCAGGAATAAATGCCACTTGATCGTGGTGAATGATTTTTTTAATGTACTGTTGGATTTGTTTTGCTAGTATTTTCTTAAGGATTTCTGCATCTATGTTCATCAGAGATATTGGTCTGTCATTCTCTTTTTTGAATAAGTTACAGGTTTAAAAACTATGTTCATACTCTTTGACCCAATAACTCAGCTTTTCAAATTGGTCCCAAGAAATCATTCAACCAAATCAAATAGCTACATACATAGAGTTATCCATAATATTTAAAACTGAACAACAATTAGATGTCCAACAACAAAAATTGGCTTAGCACAGTATGGCACATTTACCTTATGGCTGTGCTCTCCAAAATAGAACTTTCTGTGTTGATGGAAATGTTCTAGATCCCACACTATCCAAAACAGTAGTCACTAGACACATGTGGTTATTGAGTTCTTGACTTGCGGCTAATGAGACTGAGAAATTGAATTTTTTCTGTGCTTTACTTTTAATTAGTTTAACTTAAATATCCACAAATGTAAGTGCAGCTCTTTGGTATATCAAGAAGCAATTAAAATCAAAATATATGTCAGGAGAAAAAAAAGCAAAAATATAAAAGAAATGAGCCATGACAGAAAACCACATTTTATATAAACCAAATATAAAAACATATGTGTATGGATAAATATAAAAAATAAAAATTGTTAAATATGCAAACATTAAAATGAATTTTAAACATTTTTAAAAGATTACAGGTTGGAATTTCAACTTTTATGGTACACATTTCTCAAATATCCATTAGATTCACTAATACCAATTCATCAAGTCAAGTCAATAAAGCTTTTCTTTAAATGATTTTAATCTTCTTTGCCAAGAGCAAAGAGATAAAGAACCAGGCACTTCCTAATCATCTTGTCCTCAAAAACAGCTCTCTAAAAACATGATAGGGTCCATGAAAACCAAAAGCCAGAGCATCTTAAGCTGGTTCCACTTTAGCTGGAATAAAAGAGAGTGGAGAGAGGATAACTAGCTAGGAACATACTTCCGTTAATGAAATAAAAAAAAAAACAGGATAGAAGGATCTGAAGGCCTCTAAATCTTAGAATTTTGAGGGTAAGGGTCAGAACTGCTCTAATTTCTCACTTTTATCCTCCATTTCATAGATACCAAAGGCACAATTTTCTTTTTTTTTTTTTTTTAAAGATTTTATTTATTTATTCATGAGAGAGAGAGAGATAGAGAGAGAGAGGCAGAGGGAGAAGCAGGCTCCCAAGGAGCAGGGAGCCCGATGCGGGACTCGATCCCAGGACTCTGGGATCATGACCTGAGCCGAAGGCAGACGCTTAACCATCTGAGCCACCCAGGTGCCCCAAAGGCACAATTTTCATATGACTAACTTCCACTGGAAGCAGCAAACTGTGGTGGTGTCTGCCTGCTAGATTGTTTCCACTGACCACAAGCAATATGAAACTTGATTTACATATCACACCTGGTTTCATGGTGATGGCTGACCTTTGAAAAACCTGTGGCCCTGCTGGGCATAGAACTTGAAGATTGGTTTGTCTGGCCAATTTGAATAAAAGGAAACTTGGGGTTCTTGTTGGATCTGGAGGCCTGTCCCCAAATTCAGCATGTACATAGGCAAAATAACTGGATGTGAGCATAAGGCTGGTGACAACTCAGGTAAAATGGGTGTTCTTTTAGGCCTAGAGCCAAAATTTGACAGGGAGAAGTCAATGCATAGAACCTTTTGATCCCATTTGCTTCTGTTACATGTAGGAATCCAGCCTGTGGAAATTAAATGGAGGTTTATCTGCACAGTTCTGAATGAGTACATGAGTCACCGTGGAGAGAGAACATCTGGATGCAGAATGAATTGTTCTCTTTTATTATTTTTATTAATACTTAACATGTGAATCACACTTTAAAGTTAACAAAATGATTTCCAATCCCTTATTGCATTTAATACTCATAACAACTCTGTGAAGTAGGTACAATACTGAGAACATTAAATAACAGCTGCCTCTAGAACCAATATTTGTATAGCACGTTGTCTTTCATGTGTATTATCTCAATTGCTCTCTACAACTCTAGGAAGTAGCCAAAATGTTTCAAATTCTTATTTTATAGTTACGGAAACTGAGGTTCAAAGAAGAGCAAGTTCCCTATGGATTCACAACTAATTATGCAGTAGCACCAGGGCCTGAATCCTAGTGTTCTAGTTCTAAGCTTCAAGGTCTTTCAAAACACTATGTAGTCTCTTTGTATTCATATATATTAACAATATGCACAAAGAGCCAATAGAAGGCCTGGACTCTTTCATTCAAATTTTGTGTATTTGCAATCCCTAGAACCACCTAATAAACATACTGCTCATCCTTTTCTGTCATGGCCTTTTTTCCCTGCAATAGCCTCCTTAATGCTCTCCCTACTTCTAGGTTCACCACTTTGCATATCACTCCCAAGGTCATCATTATAAAATACAAATGCTGTGGATCATACCTCTGCTTAAAATTCTCTGAGGACAAACAAACTAATGGCTAACAAGTCTTAATGGGGAAAAATAAAATTGGAGATGGCAATACTCATTTCATATACAGTACCTGGTATATAAGAAGTGCTCATTATATAGCAAATTATTATTTTAAATCCTTCTAAGACTGTTCACAGGACAAAGTTCAAAAGCTTCAGGATGACATTCAAGGCTCTTCATAACCCAACACCTAATATTACCAACTACGTGCATTCTGCTTAAGCAACACTGGATTATTTGCCATTCCCTCAAACTCAATGTGCTATCATGCTTCTGTGCTAGTCCCTTTGTCTGGAGTGCCTTTCTCTCCTTGACCTCTTCTGAGAACATTCCATTATTTTTTTTTCCTCAGAATTAATCACACTTTCAGAATTTTATATCCACTATGCTATGACATCTTTTAAAATAGCAATTTGCTTATATGTTTGTGTTCCCTGTTAGGCTACAACACCTAGAAGAAAGAAATTCGTGTCTCTTCTGTTAACAGAATGCTTTGCACAGTGCCTGGCACAAAGCAAGTTTTAACATATTATGTTATGTATTTAACAATTATGTTACCTGAAAACCAGAATACTGCATATCCAGTTTGGGGCAAATACAAATTGATAAACCTTAGATTTGATGTTCTTGTCCAGTTCCTGAACAGACAGATGGAAGGAAATCATATGGTTTCCCTGAGTTACCCTTGTGCTACTTGGCAGCCATGAAGAAGGGAAAAACTGCTTTTCTCAAACAAATAAAAAGGCCAGATGACCATTTCATAGGCTGCAGAGTGGCTATAAAACAAAATGGCAAATCACTAAACAAATGCTTTCTCATAGAGAACACTCCAGGGTAGAATGAACATACGTGTACACCAAACTAGTCCTTCAGAGTCTGTCCACAATGAAAGTGGAACTATCCAAGCAAAAAGGGTGAGTCATCCCACAACCATGCATATATCTCCTCTCAAAACGACCAGGTGATTAACATAACATAATAATAATAAAAAAAAAAACTACCAGGCAATTCCAACGGAGTCCTCTTTAATACAGGCCACTTGGAGAATCCTTTGGGAATGTCTAAGGCTGAGACCTTAGTGCTGTCCAGTTTACTGAGATTCCTAATGAACTCATTCCCAGAAAAGGAAGTACTGTCCTAATTATTTTTGGATTTCACTTAACCAGGTCCAGACCATAAAACTTCCTTTCTCACACACATCTCACATCAAAGTGAAAGGGACTGTCTCAAGGAAGCCATGACAATCAACTCTGCAACGTTGCAAAAAACATTCACCAGGCCAAGCCCCCTCCTTTGGAAATACACAATAGTGGCCTGCAGTGAAACTACCATACTACCAGAATAAAAGCTTCACAGAAGAAAGAAAAATGCAAATAATAATTTTTTTCAATTTCCTTTATAAGGAACAAATTTTTTGAAGCGGTGGTTGAATATGCTAATATTAAAGTTAACTTGGTGTGATCTTGTCATAGTCACACACAAGTTGTTCAGAACCAAGAGAGAATTTTCAACAACAGTAGGGAGCTCTAGTTTCATTCTTTAAGTTAATGGTCTAGGCTAGTAATTATCAACCAGGGTGTATGTAGGGATATATCAGAATTTCTAGGAGGTGTCATTCAGAGAAACATATTCAATACCATAATTGCTTTGATTATTCTGGCACAATGACTAAGTTACTTGAGGACTTCAAACACCACATAAAAATAAATAAAATGAATAATTTTATGTTAATTGAAAAATGATCCATGCTTATTAGAAATATCAACTCCTGAGCCTCAGTAAATCTGAAGTAGCCCATGAATCTGCATTTGCAACAGGTACCTAAGAGGACTCTATATAGGTGGTCCTGGGTTCACATGTTGAAAATCCTGCCCTAGACTATCTGGGAAACCACCCAAATCCTTATTCTGTAAGTGCTACATATTTCCCAATAGATCATGCTCTACACACCAGGAACCAGAAAGAGGGACAAACAGAAAATTAGCAAATCTTTAGAACAGACTCATAACAAACAAATGTGGATTTCCAAAAGCTACCTTCAGGCATTGTGAGATGGAGATACTCTATTCTCTCAGAAGACAATGAGTATGTAGAATGTGGTGATGCCTGGTGAACCTACCCAAACCTCTAAGGCCTCTCCTTGGAGCAGGTGAGTGCTGGTGGCTCACAGGGCCCACTGCAGTAACCTTGCCTAATCTGTTCCCCACTTATATTCCTAGAAGCAGCACGTGTGCACATACACACTTACATCTCACCCCAACTCCTAGCCTTCAAGCAAAGAGCAGCTGCAGGGTGGACAGGAGCGCTGCTCCTGTCACATCACATATAAAAGAGCTCTTTTTTCTGACTTTTTCTTGTTGTTGTTATCCACCATCTCATGAGTGAACAATATGGTTAAGCAAGAGCTCCACAGTCAGGCTATCTGGGTACCAATCCTGACTCTGGACTTCCTAGCTGTGAGACTTCTGCTGATTTCAGCACCTTACAAACATCTTGAGCCTTGCCTCCTTGACATACTATGTCCATTTTTCTCTCTGACTCCCCTAAAACATCATCCCTCCTGCTTTTCCCAAAACCACTCTCCTACAGTTATGCCTTTGTCATCTCTCACTCTTTCCTTCCTAAAATGTCTCCCTATCTCCAGTCTCTGCCTCATCACTCTTCACACATCACCACCAACCCTTATCCACATTGCTGCCAGAATTTTCTTTCTAAATTACAAATCTGGTAATTTCACCCTTCTATGCAGAAACACATAATAATGTCCAAGCTCCTTAACCTAGAACTCAAAGTTTCTTATGATCTGGCCCCAAGCTATTCTTTCCAACTCATTTCCTATTACACTTAGGCATCCTACACTTCAGATATACTGAACTACTTGGTATTTGTTGATGTGACCTTCTAGATTATCAACACCTTTGTTTGTGCTCTTCCCTATAACTGGAATGCCTTTCCTTCTCAGTCTCCTGTTATTCAAATCCTAACTATTCTTCAAGGTCCAGTTCACAGGCAAGCTCCTCTGAACTCTTACCAAGCTTTATTTATTCATCTCAAGACATTAAGCACTTATGTTGGAGTACAGTTAATATGATCCCATATTTTCTCTCCTCTACTATATTATGTGTTACTAGAAGCCAAAGACCAAGTCGGAATTTTTTTCCCCTTTGTACAATCTACAGAGATACTACAGTGCTAGGTACAGAGTGAGTTCTCAATATGTATATGATACAAATGGAACAGTTTTCCAGCCTCCATATTTTCTCCGCTATAGTAGAATGGCAGGCATAAGGCCTGGGTATTCTAAGATCACATTGTGGGAAAGTCTACGTAGGGCCAAATTATATTTCTTTATTTTCTTATTTCTGTGTGAAAAGGATTTTTATAGGTCCAGAAGAATCAAAATCATTAGTAGTAATACCACCAAAATTAGTAATACATGTCTCCTCTTACTGTAGAAGCCACATTTTACAACTACGGTTTCAAAGCAGTGTAGGTTACTTCCAATTGTGACATGCAAAAGGAAACTGAGACATTAAGAGATTTGATAAAGGGCTTCTCCTAGAGCACATGGTAAGTATGTTAGTATCTTTACTGCTGCATAACAAACTGTCACAAACTTAGCAGCTTAAAATAACACTCATTTATTATCTCACAGTTCTGTAATTCAGAAGTCCTGGTGGGTTCAGTTAGGCTCTCTGCTAAGGGTCTCACAAGGTCAAAATCAAGGTGTCAACCAGATTGATCCCTTATACGGAGGTACTGGGTGGAAGAATCCACTTCCAAGTTTACTGGTTGTTGACAGAATTCATTTCTTTTGTAACTTTAGGTGTGAGGTCCCCATTTTCTTGCTGACTAGTCAGGTGGGGCTCCCTCCATCTTCAAGTCAGTATTGGCACATCAAATCCCTCTCAAGCTTCAAATTTTCTATTCTGTTACCAATTGACAAAATGTCTCAATTTTTGAGGAGCTTTGTGTGATCAAACACCTCTTAAAGTCAACCATGCCATATAACACAACCTAGTCATGGGAATGATATATTATTATAATGATATATTATATAATGATATATTCACAGGTTCTACCCACACTCAAAGGTAGGTTATCATACAAGGACAAGGATCACTGGGGTAATTTAAAAATTATACTTACTACAGTAAGTTATTACTGAAGCTAGAATTTTAACTATGTGGGGGGAGACTGTAAACATTCTGAAGTCAAAATTCTAACTGGGTAACATACTATTGTATTAAAATGGACTGGCTATAGATAATTTAGCTTGCTATTCTGAAACAGAAAGATAAAATATGAAAATGTGAAATTATCCTAATTATAAAGTACTTATGGTCATGTAAAAGGTCCAGAAAAAATTTTAAAGAGATCATGGTCCTATGTCCAACTTAATTTATTGCCATATTTTTCAGGACACATTACTATGGTCAAGCCGTAACTGCAAAAGGGAATTTGACACTGGAGTGAATATTAGTACAGGTAGCTCACTAAAACTGAAAAGGAAGAGACTGAATTAGGTCCTCCACTGACTTGTTGTGTGACTCTGAGCAAGTCTCTTCCACTCTGTAGGCCTCAGTTCACCCATCTGTAAAATGAGAGGATTGGACTGAAGCTCCCATTCATTTGAAACAGTCTAAGTTTCTACTTCTCATTCATGTCTCTGTATTATCCTTCTGGGTTAAAGATAAACCTTTCAAGAATTTATACTTGCTGATAGGACCTGAAAAAAGTGAAACCAATGTAGTAGTCAAGCCCATAGAATTTGAATCTGAAAAAGACCTTTGTTTTTATAGTTATCTACAGGCCTATAAAGAAGAAAATAATAAATCTAAAAGTACCTACTATATAGTGAGATTCAAGAACCCCTTCTTTCTGAACTATTATTATACAACTACATTGTTGACTGCCCACTCTGTACTTAGTATTTCCCACTGCAAGGGGATTTCAAGCATCAGAAGGACAGACTGGATTGAGTATAGGGCACTTAAGCTTCTTTCAACCCTGAAATCCTAAGATACAAATTTTAAGACACAAGATACATAGTCTTTACTATCAATCAACTTATAGCTGTACTGGAGAGAGAGGGAATTATTTGGGAAGTAAAAGGGCCAAAAATGTGTTTTTCTTCCTCAGTTTATGAATAAACAACAAAGTACACACTGTTAGCTGCTGCATAACCCCTTATCCTGTGTGTTTTCATGATGATCTTGATGAAATCATCCATTTATTTTAAAAGCACAAAAACTTTACACTTGAAACTTCAAATAACTAAATATAAAAGTACATCTTTCTACCAAAAAAATATATGTGTATGTGTGCTATTAGAAAAATCATCAGAAAGAACTGAGTACAATTTGTTGAGGATCTTCTTTTTCAAGTGACCATTGCTGAACTAACACATATGTCCCCAAAATACCCAATTTAATTGGAGATGGTTTCCTTGTAATCACTTTTCTTTTGTTTAAAACTTGTAGTGACCAGCTCTATTATATCTGAATTTTAAAGTAATTTTCTAAAAAAATTGAAAAAGTAATTCATAATCACTGTTTAAAAAAAATCAATGCAGGGTGTATAAGGTAAACACTGAGACTCAACTGTCCTCAATCTTACTCAGGAGGGTCCATTTTTATCAACCTGAGGTACATTCTGCCACTGGTTTTTCTATGCACATATAAACACATGCATATATGTACATTCAAATGTAGTGATTTTCTTTTTACAAAACTCAGACAATATATATTGATTTCAAATTTGCTTTTTTGACTCAACAATATAGAATGTCAGCATATGCATACCTTCCTGATTTAATGGCTGTATAGTATTTCATATTATGAGTATACCACAATTTATATAACAATTTTCCTGGCAATGATATGTAGAAATCATAAATTTGGAACAAATAACATAAATAAAACCAATTAATCATTCAGATTCCTCTTTTAGCTTCAAATGTATTTTGAGATAAATTAATCAGTACTGTGAAATCTCTAAACCCAAAATCTACATGTATTTCTAAGTAGTAAAAATTACCCTTAAAACTATATTCATTTGTCAAATAGTAAACTTCATGGATTTCTAGTATTTGTACTGTGGAATAAATATTTACTGAACATCTGTTTGGTGCCAGGCACTGGGCTAAACACAGAAGGAGAGGGACAGTTACAGGTTCAAAAATTAATAAAATACCTATCTCCTTCCTCAAGAATCTTACATCTCAGTAACTGGAAGACACATATAGGCTGTAATATTCAAACACAACATTGGTGATTTAAAAATTGCCCAAAATGGACTTTCTGAACTAAGTGACCCAAATCCAGTTTCTTAACCAGCCTCTTAAATCAATCCCATTCTCAGGGTCAGATTTCAGTCACGAGCTCACTATGCCATGAATCTACTCACTGAGCATGCTACACTTTCCATGTAGCAAAAGAACAAAATGGTCCCTCACTGTCCTGTACTCTTATGGATGAGTAGATATTCAGTCTTCACTGCCAAAATACAATATCTATATAGCAACATTACCTACATAACTTAGAGTCACCAAAGCCACAAATGGGTAAAAAGTAGACTATATAGGAGTAAGTAATACCACAGATAACTACCTTCTTATTTAAGTAGCCTTCTTCGCCCTCTTCTCGAATTAATACCTACTTCTGTTCTATTTGAGTACCTTCTTCTGGATAATTTCCTCCACCCCCCACTCCCTCTCTCACATTTCTTTTTTTTTAAAGATTTTATTTATTTATTCATGAGAGACACACAGAGAGAAAGAGAGAGAGGCAGAGGGAGAAGCAGGCTCCCAAGGAGCAGGGAGCCCGACGCGGGACTCGATCCCAGGACTCTGGGATCATGACCTGAGCCGAAGGCAGATGCTTAACCATCTGAGCCACCCAGGCGCCCGCCTCTCTCACATTTCTATTTGTGACATTTCACGTGTTCCACAGTCACATGTGGCTAGTGGCTACGTATTGGACAGCATGGATCTAGCCCGAGCTCTCTGAGACCAAGGATTCTACTCTGTTCATTACACAGTGAGGCACTCCGGAAATGGTTGGTAAGTAAATTACCATCATGCTTGTCTTAGGATCACAAGAGGACATTCTTTGCTTCAAACTTTGCCTTGAGAAAGAAAAAAAAAGGGGGGGGGACCTGAGGTGAGAGAGGGGATGAGAGCAGCCCCATTAGAGCCAAATAATTCCATATTACTAAAATAATATTTGAACTAATGTTCTATGGTAAACTGGTACCCTTATTATAGGTAAACTCAGCAAAGAGCCAAAGATTACTTTTCTAATCAGAATAAAAACTAATTGCTACAAAGTGCTGCAAAAAAGCAGTAACAGACGCTTCTTCAAGCAGTGGATTTTCAGCACTTTTTGTACTGCTCTCCCAGTGGCCCACTCATATCAGTTCTTTCCTCATCTTTACTTGTGGTAGTACAGGGCACTTTCACATCCATTATCTCCTTTAGTTCTCAGGACCCTAAGAGATAATTACAATTGTTATCCTCCTCTCAAAGATGAATAACCTAAGCTTCACAGAGGGGAAGTGACTTGCCCAAGGCCATAAACCCTATTGTAGTAAAGGCAACTAGGACTTCAAAATCTTGTCCAAGCGTTCTGTGCCTGTAATAGTTTATTTCCACAAGTGTATCTGGTCTAAGATTATTTTTTTAAGATTTTATTTATTTACTTATTTGACAGAGAGAGAGAAACAACGAGACAGGGAACACAAGCAGGGGGAGTGGGAGAGGGAGAGGGAGAAGCAGGCTTCCCGCCGAGCAGGGAGCCCGATGTGGGGCTCGATCCCAGGACCCTGGGATCATGACCTGAGCCTAAGGCAGACGCTTAACAACTGAGCCACCCAGGCGCCCTTCTAAGATTATTTTCATCCAGAAGGAATCCATACTACAAAAAGGTAGTTGGAGAGCTCTATTTCTCCTCTTCCAGCCAGTCCTGCTGAAACACATCTGTCTGTAAATCAAGGGATGCCTACAGTGTCTATGCCATAACTAGCGAAAAAACTCTCTGTAGAAAGGATAGGGCACCTACTCACCTGGAAAACAGTTACCAGGACAGTGAGCAGATAGTTATAGGCCATTATGAGCCAACTGTTCTGTATTGGGTATTAATAGGAATCTGGAAAGCCTGAGTGGCAGCTTTTGTGAAAGGGGCCAAAGATGAAACTAGAATGCAGCAAATAAGAGAGGTGCCCGGACTGTTGTAAAAGAGGTCAGGAGGTTAGTTTCTGGTGATCTGTGGATTTCAGTGTGCTCTTACTACAAGTATATAATGCAATTCTTCATTTAGTTATGCTCCCCAAGGATGAAAAGGAGGGCAAACGGAGATACCAAGCAGGGTCATGGGACCTTAGGGCATGTTCAAAGGCAGGGATGGGCAAACTGTGGCCCGTATGCCAGATCCAGCCTGCTACCGTTTTGTGTAATGTTGTATCGGAATACAGCCATATCCATTTATTTATGTACTGTCTATAGCTGCTTTTGTGTTACAACAGTGAAGCTGAGCAGTTGTGACAGACCACAGGGCTCCCAAAGCCTAAAATATTTACTATCTGGGCTACTGCAGAGAAAGTTTGCTGATCCTTGCTCAAGAGAGGTTATGGAAACATTTCCTACACTTCAGTGAAATGACGTTTGAAAAAGTTTCCACACTAAGCGAACTACCTCCTCGCTATGTAATTTAGGGCCAGTCTGTTCCTCTCTTTCTGTCCATGTAAGATGAGTATGATGTGGCTGTAAGGCATCGTATAAAACCTAACTACTATTTCAGTGCACAGAACAATGCTTGGCACATGGTACCCAGAGAGAGAGAACCAGAACAACTACTCCTCTGAAAGGAATCCTTACTTTTCAGTACAAATTAGGCACCACTTTATTGTTTGAACTGCCTGAAAAAACATCTTCGCATAAGGCTTTTCAAGTGAGATTGTTGCAGGAATGACACAACCAGTTCCACTAGAAAAACAGCATGTAATGTGTGGTGCTCACTAATCTATGTATGTTTAAAGTGTGTGAAGATCATGTTGGCATGATAATCCAACTATCCATCTGACTAGTTTCTTACAGGGTTGTGTGGGAGAACTGAATACACATAGTGTAAACACAGAATCCCCAAAGCAAAAATATGCTTAAAGTGTGTTTTTGTTTAAAATTGCATATGGAGGCCATGGTAGATTTTTAAACCATTTTAAAAATCCAATATTCAAGCTACTTCGTCTGAGCTGCTGACAGGCCATCCAGAGTGTGAGAAAGACCTGGAAACTTCAGGGCCATGGGAGCCACGGTCACAGCCCCACGGGCAAGCACCAGAAGCACCCAGGAGGCCGGGATAATGCTGGTGGCGTACATCACCACAGGATCAATGTCAACAAATACCACCCAGGTTACTTTGAAAAAGTTGGTCTGAGGCATTACCACTTAAAGAGAAACCAGAGCTTCTGCCCAACAGTCAACCTTGATAAACTGTGGACCTTGGTCAGTGAGCAGACACAGGTAAATGCTGCCCAAAATAAGATTGGAGCTGCTCCCAACATTGATGTGGTGCGATCAGACTACTACAAAGTTTTGGGAAAGGGAAAGCTCCCCAAATGGCCTGTCATGGTGAAGAACAAATTCTTCAGTAGAAGAGCTGAGGAGAAGATTAAGGGTGTGGCTTGACGGGGGGGGGGGGGGGGGTGTATCCTGGTAGCTTTAAGTCACCTGAAGGGAAGTTCATTAAATGCTAACAAGCACTTTTCAAAAAAGAAAACAAAACAAAAAAACAGATATTAAAAATAATCTAAAATAAAACTTTTAATTTCAGCTGCTTTGTGTAAAATCGATCTTTAAATATTTTTAAGATATACATATATTTAATTCAAAAGTAAAAATTAATTGACCTAATACAATATTATGTATTGTAACTAATGTTCTAATACAATATTATGTATTAGAAACTAATACATATTTAATACAATATTATGCTAACTATACTGGAATTAACATTAAAAAACTTAAAAAGAGATTTAAAAAATTAAATGAAGCAAAAGCAAAGTACATAAATTCATTATCTAGAATGTCACACACACACAAAAGTGTGTGTAACACACACCAAGGAAACTCTCTCCCTGATAGGAAAGAGAACATCATGAGGTTTCATAGGTCTATAAGCTTTTGATGCTACAAAATTCTTTGAGGATTATGTAATTCAATCTCTCATTTTGCAAGGAGGAGCCTGAGACCCAAAGAAATGTTAAATGACTTGGTAGTTAGTGGTGGAGTTAAGACTAGATTCCGAGTTTCCTGGATTCCATTATCCCAGGGTTTCTCAATCTCCACACTACTTTGACTTTTGTTGTGGGTGCCTGTTTTGTGTATTATAAAATGTTTAACAGCATCTTTGACCTCTACCCTAGATGTTAGAAGCACTTTCCCCACCTCAGTTGTAACAAAAATGTCTCTAGACTTTTGGTTACAAAAGTCCAGGAGAAGAAGGGCAAAACTGACCTCAGTGAGAACCACTGAGCTATATTATGCTAGTAGTAATTTTTCCCCAGGTTTATTTAGATATAACTGACATACAACACTGCATATGCTTAAAGTGTACAACTGATGATTTTGATACATTCTATATATTATGAAATGATTACTACAGTAGGGTGAGTTAACATGTCCATCACTTCACATAAAAAATATATGTATTTGTGGTGACACATAAGATCTACTCTCTTAGCAACCTTCAAGTATATAATACAGTATTGTTAATTATAGTCACCATGCTATACATTAGATCCTCAGAACTTATTCAACTTATAACTAAAAATTTGTACCCTCTAAACATCTACCCATTTCTCCCAGCCACTGGTAATCACCATTCTACTGTTTCTATGAGTTCAACTTTTTTAGGTTCCACATATAACTGAGATCATACAGTATTTGTCTTTGTCTGTCTGACTGATCTCACTTATGCTGGTAGTAACTTAGTACTGTTTTATTACTCATCTTTATGTTTTGAAGAAAAAGAAGAGACATTAAAAAAAAGAGTACTCAGAGAAAAACAAGAGTAAAGGTTCTCCAGATCCCTAGGATTAGTAAAGCATAAGAAAATATAAGATTTTATATACAGTAATTAAAATAAACAAAGTCTTTCACTGTTTTTCAAGTAAATGATGAAACAATCACCAAATCTCCTGTGAAATCCATCACCAAATCAGAAATTTCATGACCTAGTGAAGTCAAGAGTTCTTCTTGTTAATTTTGTGAATTCCATGAGAAACATACAATAAAATAATAAACAAAAAAAGATCATTTAGATGTAAAATAATCTTTATCCGAGCTAGACTGAAGTATGAAGATATCTTTACAAAACTAAGATTATACCTTCCATCATACATTATTTAAATACTATGGTCTTGTAACTTTTCTACAATTGTTTTTAAAGCAGGCTGTGGCAGACCATGATTATTTTTCAAGCTCATTTTATTGCTAAATTTTTCAATAATCAGTATGACGGGTTTTGTAAATCTTTAATTACTACAGGAAAGCTAGCTGTGACACAGCATTCATCAAAAATCAGGTAAAATGATTTCACAACATGTGAAAGCACAATACTTTTTTAAACGTTCAAGCTAAGACCTTTCAGGTAATCGGTTTGCTCAGAAGGCTTTGAGAGAGGCAAGTTTAAGCACTGGTGAGGCTCACTTTAATTTAGCAGATATTCTAGTCTAAATCAAAGCCACAACTTGTGCAGATCTGAAATGGTAATGGTCTTCTTTTGGAATCTATTTCATGCTATATTGGGAAACTATGTAGGAGTTGAAAAAGGAGGGAAGATTTTCATTTCCTAATCATCAAGAGGTAGGAAGAAGAAGCTGAAGACTGAACTGGTCCCATAAGCCAACATTCTAAATTTTTCACATTGATTTGGTTTAAAGTTTATGTAGTGATTTTTTGTTGTTGCTGTAGTTGTTTAAAAAAATACTACTGTAAAGTTTTTGTTTGGTTTGATATATTACTTACCTGGTTAAAACATTTATGTTTGTTGTTCAAGATAATTTTTTTCATTTTCATTAAATAAATATTATAAAGACCTGCTTGTTGGTAGGAGCTGTTGTTTATCACATATATTATGGCAAAACAACTCCAATTATCCATATTTTGTCCATTACATTGGAAATAGTTGTCTTCCAAAAGCTTAACAAAGATCTAAAATAAATCATTACTCAGTTTCTCTGATTAAAGGTTTTTGATGCCTGGAGTTAAGTGAGTAGGTAGAAACAGTCATCTTTCTGAGAAATTAGTATGAAAAAATTACCTACTGCTTTAATGTATTATGTGCTTTCTAAAATTAAAATCACCTATGGGATGCAAAAAATATGTTCAGTGTTATAAAGACATTAGTTCACTTTTTGAGGAAAAAAACATTTATAACTAAGGAAAAATCCATGTGAATATGCCATTGCTTTATGAAATGGTTTAACATTCTGTTGCCTAACAAAACAGTTTGGATCGTTAAAAAATCAGATTACCAAAAAGTTCACTTAAGGAAAACTTACTACTAGAACCATTTATGGGAGACCCAAAGCTACCAATCTAAGAAGTTTAGAAGTTCAGAAATTCAGGTAAGGGAAAGAATCTAGAGAATAATATAAAAATAAAGGTCTATTTCAGAAAGATGATTTGGGCTTCAATAAAAAATTAAAAAAAGCTCAAAAGAAATAATATATGAAGTAGACTGTCTAGGGGAGTTTAAGAGGCTCTGCCTTTGAAGATGTAAGGTGAGAAGTAAAACAATGGTCTTAACAATGACGAAACACTAGAACTTTGATTCCTGTCAGCTGGGAACTGACTGAAGTAGACAGAGTTATAGCATTTTCAAAGTAAAACAGTTATACTGTAGACTTTTTGGGTAGTTATGTGATATTCTTTTTCCTTGGCACTACTTTGTTGTTGTTGTCGTTGTTAATAGAAATGCTAGTGTGGCATTTCCTTTGGTTTTCTTAGTTTTCTACTTCTCACATTGCTATGTTATCAAGACAAGAGGCACCAGTTAGTATTGACTCAATGCAACAGTTTGTATAGTAAACTAGTCTCTTTAGGACATGCTGAAAGCTTTACCGTGATAAGAATATCACGAAAATCTTTATAAGTAGTTGGTACTGGCATCATTTAAACAGATTCATCTTTAGTCTTACCCATTATACCTACTAGATTAAAAAAAAAAAAGTTTTCCCAGGGCGCCTGGGTGGCTGAGTCAGTTAAGTATCTGACTCTTGAATTCTGCTCAGGTCATGATCTCAGGGTTGTGAAATGAAGTCCTGCCTAAGGCTCTGTGCTGGATGTGGAGCCTGCTTAATATTCTCTCTCTCCCTGTCCCTCTGTCCCTCCCCACCTTAAAAAAATTTTACCTAAGAATATTGCTAAAACAAGAAAAGAACTCAACAGGAACCATGATGAGATAGGCAATCAATGTATTTTGTAATCACTAAAGAATAGCAACTGTATGAAGGGAAGCACATTTCCTCTATTAGAATTATTTTTTTATACAGTTGCTAGAAAGGCAAATATATATAAATCCAACTGTATTTGAAATGTATCCGGGGAGCTTCCTATTTAAAACGAATCTTATTCAAAATCCTTTAAGGAAATAAAAGTGAGAATAATCGCTCCCTAATTAATCCTTTGTATAAATCTGGATTTTCCTATATTGTATTTGCTTAGAATAATAAATATCTGTGGAGTTTACACTCCTTCTTGTTTACCCCATGTCTTTTCAAGCTCCAACCTTCATTGGTGGCTGCAGTTAGTGGACACAGATCCTCACATCTCCACATAAACCTAAAGTGGCTGCTTTCAATGAACAACCAAACCACAAGTTCCTTATTAATAAACCTATCTATAGTCTGTCAAATGGAACAGTAGGGTTTCTTGGGGCTCTACATCAGCAAAGCATCACTCTTGAATCCATCACCTTAGTTTCATATTTAGATATGATATGGTGTTTTAAAGATTTTATTTATTTGAGAGAGAGCGAGTGAGCACAAGCACGGGTGGGGTGGGACAGAGAGAGAGAGAGAGAGAATCTCAAGCAGACTCCCTACTGAGCACGCAGCCTGAAGCAGAGCTCCATCTCACAACCTTGAGATCATGACCTGAGCCAAAATCAAGAGTTGGCCACTTACCTGACTGAGCCATCCAGGTGCCCCATGACATTGTGTTTCAAATTCAGGATATATATCCTAGCTTAATTATGCCTCTTCCCAAATCCTCTATTCTACCTCTGTAAAGAGAATCACCACCCAAGTGAATAAAATACTCCCACTTTCCCCAGCACAATTTATTGAAGAGACTGCCTTTTTTCCGTTGGATATTTTTCCCTGATTTGTCAAAGATTAGTTGATCATAGAATTGAGGGTCCATATCTGGGCTCTCTATTCTGTTCCATTGATCTATATGTCTGTTTTTGTGCCAGTATCATGCTATCTCGGTGATCATGGCTTTGTAATACAGCATGAAGTCAGGCAACGTGATGCCCCCAGCTTTGGTTTTCTTTTTCAACATTCCCTTGGTGATTCTGGGTCTTTTCTGGACAGCTACATAAAGAAGAATGAAACTGGAGCATTCTCTCATACCATACCAAAAGATAAACCCAAAATGGATGAAAGACCTCAATGTGAGAC